TTTTTTTGAGATGGAGTCTTGCTCTGTTGCCCAGGCTGGAGTGCAGTGGTGCGATCTCGGCTCACTGCAACATCTGCCCCCCAAGTTCATGCGATTCTCCTGCCTCACCTTCCCAAGTAGCTGGGACTACAGGTGCACACTACCATGCTCGGCTAATTTTTTGTACTTTTACTAGAGACAGCGTTTTACCATGTTGGCCAGGATGGTCTCAATCTCCAGACTTTGTGATCCACCCACCTCGGCCTCCCAAAGTGCTGGGATTACAGGCGTGAGCCACCACACCCAGCCTTTAACCATTTTTTGATCCTTTTACACATGAAGGCCTTGACCAGGTAACCAGATCTAAACTTTTTAAAGGAGAATCGGGTAGAGAGGGTGTCAGAATGGGACTGTATAGGGAGAGATAGTGCTTGGCACATGCTTCTTTCCTGTGAGATGACCAGCCTGGGAACTTCAAACAGGAAAGCACCATGGGAGGGTAAAGAGGTCAGGCAGAGATGGACTCTCCTCTTGCCTCCTGGGTTCTTGGAGTCAAGTGAATCAGTGGTTCTAATGGCAGGACCTTGGCTTCATAGTTTCTTGTGTATACAAATAGAGCAAGGAGGTTTCTGCTATTGCAAAGCTCTATAGAAACAGAACTAGCAAAGATGGAGATTGCAATTCTCAGAGAAAGGAATCAGGGACAATCCCTTACTCTAATTGTTCTGAAGCCTTATCTAGATAATCCCGTCTAGTGCAGGGCCCCTTGAGCCAACCAGAAAAGAGAAATTTTGTGATAAAAATAATTAAGACTTCTCCCTGCCTTTAAAAAAAATCTAAATGTCTGCTCACAAAGACCACCCTTTTTGACTGAGCTTGGCGTGTCCTTCCAGCCTCACCTCTCTACCTAGCCCTGGACACTTCATCTACCGGGAGTGCGGCTTTCCATTGCCTCTACAGGGTGCCGCTATAGCACTGGCCGCGTAAACCCGCCCGAGATAGCATTTTTTTTCTTGAGAGTTCTTTTTGGAATCCTCCTCTGTCCTACACTCAAAGTGTTTAGCTCCCTAAAAACCTCTTCTAATACCGCTAGTGCTTGGGACAGTGCCTGGCATTGATTAGGTACTTAATAAGTACTGAATGAACGAACACCTTGCTACAGAACAAGAATATCGCTACTATATTCAGTAAGATACGTGTACCAGTCAAAAACCTTTTATAGACTTCAAATTCCAAATGTTGTAAAAGAGGAAAGCAAGGAAACAGAAAACACTTAAAACTGTAACAACACATTTCTTTCCTGTTAGCCTTTACCCTTATTGTAAACAAGAGACTTTAGTAAACTGAGGATATAAGAGAGTTGGACTACACACATTAAAAACTTTTTTTTTTTTTTTTTGAGATGAAGTTTTGCCCTTGTTACCCAGGCTGGAGTGCAATGGCGTGATCTGGGCTCACTGCAACCTCCACCTCCCGGGTTCAAGCAATTCTACTACCTCAGCCTCCTGAACAGCTGGGATTACGGGCGCCCGCCACCATGCCCGGCTAATTTTTGTATTTTTTAGTAGAGATGGGGTTTCACCATGTTGACCAGGCTGGTCTCAAACTCCTGATCTAAGGTGATCCACCCGCCTTGGCCTCCCAAAGTGCTGGGATTACAGGTGTGAGCCACCGTGCCCTGCCAAAAACTCTTTAAAATATTAAAACATTTTGTATTGTATGTATTTTCTGCAATTTCAATGTATTTGGCCAAGAATATAAATGTTACTTAAAATTACAGGTCATTATGTTTTACAATACTTTCTCCAAAAGACTTGGTACTGAGTTTTCATACATGAGAATTAGTTAACTATGAATTAACAATTTTTACCTCCTTTACCTGCTATTGTAAGTAAGAACAAATACTCTCAAATATGTATAACTTCAAACACTTTATAGAATGAGATCAGGTTATATGTAAATAAAATTAGTCAAGCCTCCATAATGTCTAGCATACTGCTTAGCTATCTTTTGGTTCATTCTAAAATTCAGAAGTTTATGTAGTCCACTCATTCTATTTTAAGACACTGATAAACTTTGATACATTTGTTTATGAAAGCTCTAAAATCTCCAAAGGAATATATGTATGAGTGTTTGTCCTACTATTAAGTTTAATAACTGAGAAAGTTTCTAAAAAATCTAACCTAAATTTTGTCTTTTGCAATGTGCTTTGTTCCTGCACCTTCCCTATACAGAAGCCTACTAACCACGGCCTCAGAAAGCCTCCTCAGGGAGGATCACTGCCCTCGGCTTGCGGTCTTTCTGTTACCAGCCAGTTTGCCATCCTTCCTTTCTAGGTTCTCTGCCGCATGTCTCAATTTGTGTTAAATGGATACTTACCTTTTCCAAAATAACTTGCAGGTCTTCAGCGCCTGTATAATGTGGATCTAGAATCAGAAACTTTATCTGCCCTGTAATCTCATTCCATGCAACTCCTAGTATTGTGTGGGCCAAAACTCCTCCCCCTATAGAAGAAACAGGAAATACAAATAAGGTATGAACAAATGTCAAATGCCTGTTCAATTGAAAAAGACAGATTACTTTGCCTATTAACTGATCTAAAATAGCATTAAAGGGACCACAATGTCAGATATACTCTGAAAGGATACAATGACAGCTTTGTTAACACATAGAAGATTCAGTCATATCTAGAATCACATAAAATTTATATTCCACCGTCATATCCATATAGTTACCTAAATTGGATTTAGAAAGGGCCATAAACTTTTCCCAATAGAGCAACAATCACTGCTGTGGTGCGTCTCTCAGCAGATGGTCCTGCTGCCTGAGTACCGCCAGTGATACAGCACTCCACTCTTTTTTTTTTTTTTGAGACAGAGTCTTGCACTGTCACCCAGGCTGGAGTAGAGTGGGCGATCTTGGCTCACTGCAACCTTCACCTCCAGGCTCAAGCGATTCTCCTGCTTCAGCCACCCAAGTAGCTGGGATTACAGTGTGTGCCACCATACCTGCCTAATTTTTCTATTATTAGTAGAGACAGGGTTTTGCCATGTTGGCCAGGCTGGTCTTGAACTCTTGGCCTCTAGTGATCCACCTGCCTCAGCCCCCTAAAATGCTGGGATTACAGGTGTGAGCTACTGGGCCCTGACCTACTCATTAAGTTCTTTCTGATATTTTGTAGACATCAGCCTCCATTTCCTTTTTTTTTTTGAGACAGAGTCTCACTTTTGTCACCTAGGCTGGAGAGCAGTGGAATGATCTTGGCTTACTGCAGCCTCTACTTCCTGGGCTCAAGCAATCCTCCCCCCTCCGTCTCCTGAGCAGCTGGCACCACAGGCTTATGCCACCATGCTGGCTAATTTTTATATATATATATTTTTGGAAGAGATGAGGTCTTGCCATGTTGCCCAGGCCGGTCTCGAATTCCTGGACGCAAGCTATCCTCCTGCTTTGGCCTCCCAAAGTGCTAGGATTACAGGTGTGAGCCACTGCACCTGACTTCTGCCTCCGTTTCTTACACACTAGTCTCAGTGCGCCTTCTGTCATCACAGGACAGGTCTTGTTCTTCACAGAATTAAGCATCTTTAGATCAACTAATTCAATCTTCTTATTTTACAAATAAAATCCAGAGAGGTAAGTAATTTGCAAAATGTCACAAAGCCAGCGTTAGTGACAGAGTCATGACTTATGAAGCTCAGCTGGACCACCTCCTCTTTTTACTACTGCTCTCAGCTCTTTAATTGTTTGAACATAGCTACCATTTCTCAGCCTTTACTTCTTCTGGTTATTATAATCTTTTTTGTAACCTTTAAGCCACCTTGGACATTTTTTTCAATATCCAGAGATCCATACATATGGTGTAAAAGTGAATTTCAAAATTTTTTAAATTACTGATTTTATGCAACATTAAATATTTATAAGTTTTACATACAAAAAAGATGTCTGAAACACTTTACCGATCATAACTGGAGTTCCTTCGTTTTGGAAATGATTAGCCAGTCCCCGTCCTTGAGAGGCCATTTCTGAACCTTGGCTAGAAAGAAACCATTGTCTATCAGATGAACCACTTCCAACACTAAGGTCAAATAATGAGCTAGGAGACAAAAAATTCTTTTCTGGGTTGTTATTGAAAAAAATATGTAACTGCAAATAAAATTAAGTGGTAGGGAACTGAGAGAGCAATTAAACCTTACAATTTAAGGCAACATAAATTCGAAATACTTAAGGCCACTAAGTGTCCTAGGAAAGAAGCTAGAAGACCTTGATCTTCTGCTTCTTGAACTGCATAAAGGAGGTCCTGGGTTTTTTGGGGTTTTTTTGAGACGGAGTCTTGCTCTTTTTGTATTTTTAGTAGAGACAGGGTTTCACCATGTTTGCCAGGATGGTCTTGATCTCCTGATCTCGTGATCCACCCACCTCAGCCTCCCAAAGTGCTGGGATTACAGGCATGAGGCACTGGGTTTTTAACATTAAGTTGAAACATCACCTTGAGGCTCAGGGAGTTCTTATGGATGGACTTAATCAGAAGAATAAGTGTTAAGTCCTGGGTTCTTGTCTTCTTCCTGGTAGACTTCTTAGTCTGTATTTCTTCATCTTTAAATAGGGACCCAAAATATCTGACCTGTCTACAAAACGGAGGAGAGTCTAGGACTAAAATATATGTCTGTAAAATCACTGTGAAACCTGTAAAGTGTTTTCAAGTGCAACATACTATTTTTTTAGGGAATATCAGAATTTTTACTTTTGAGAAAGAAAGATGGGCTGATGAAGGGAGGTATTTTTGGGGTGGGAGGTGCCAGGTGGTGCTAAACCTTAGCTCTTGCTTCATGAGGAATGTATAATGTTTTAATTACCAAAACTGTCACTTTAAAAAAAAGTTCTTCACTACCTAGGCTGTCACTTTATTTTTTTTCCCCCGGATGGAGTCACCCTGTATCACCCAGGCTGGAGTGCAGAGGCGCAATCTCAGCGCAGTGAAACCTCTGCCTCTTCATGCGATTCTCCAGCCTCAGTCTCCTGAGTAGCTGGGATTACAGACATGTGCCACCACACCTGCCTGACTAATTTTTGTATTTTTAGTAGAGACAGGGTTTCACTCTGTTGGCCAGGCTGGTCTGGAATGCCTGACCTCAGGTGATCCACCCGCCTGGGGCCTCCCAAAGTGCTGGGATTACAGGCGTGAGCCACCGTGCCCGGCCAGTCTGTCATTTTTTACCACTGATTTCCATAACCACTGGGTACTGATACAATGAGGACAATGTTCCTATAATTAACAATAGGAAATGCATTTTGTTTGTTTTTTGGGGGTTTTCTTTCTTTTCTTTTAAGAAAATGTACTTTAAAACAAGCTCATACAATCAGGAGTAAGCTAGTTATGGTCATAGAAAATGTTTAATTTATTTATAGTTTCTCATTTTAATATTAGAATTATGGTTAAGATACATTGGACAAGATAAAATGAATACATTATTTGAACACATTACTGGATTATTAACATCTTAGGAAGAAAAAGAGCAGGAGGTAAACAAAAAGGTCAGTCATAGATCAACATTTAACTCAAACTTTTTAAAGACTGGAGCACAAAGAAACTGTTAATAGAATTTTTATGACTTTACTCAACGTTAATATATTTTTAAGGTTTCCTCTTCTAGGCTAAAATTAGGCCTAGATAGTGCAAGTATACATTACATCTCAAAGTTTATTCATAAACTCAGAGCCTTCCAAAAAAAAAAATTGAAAAAAAATTAAGGTTAAAAAAATGAGATTTAAAAGCAATGAGGTAATAAGGGAGAAGGGAAAGGAATGTAAATAATAAGGGAAGACACCATTTTTCTATTATTTTAATTAAAATGACAGACTGTCACTTTGAAATGATTTATCTAATTTCTAAAGTGTCCTTACCTGACAAACAGTATTTTTGAAGTGACACCAATCAATTGGTTTAGTACCAGCTGTACCTCAATAGATCCAATCCATTGCCGTGATCCGACAAATGTTGCTGGTTTGTCGCCGGCATCAACCAGAGCCTTCATGTGTTTAAAAATATAAAAAAATCCATACACAAGACAGCTATTAAAAACTATATTTAGGGCATTTTTCCTGATTACCAGTAAAAGAATATTTTTTTCTTCAAAACAGTAGTAAGTCTGCACCATGAGGTAACAAAAGCATCAATGAAATATTAAAGGCTAATGAAATGTACAGTCGATTATAATTTAAAGTGGTGTGTTCTGTACCTGCTGGATTTCTCTGTGTGTTGGAATGGGCCTCTCTGTGTATCCCTGATGTTTGAACCAAGAGCAGATGGTCTGCAGAGATCGGTAAGCACAGCCCCAGCCATTGTCGTCTATCCGGTCCTGCATATAATGATGATAACCATATATGCCCTGGACCACACAAACCTATATACAGAGAAGAAACACAGTGAAATATTAACTTAGGATAGAAGTACATGTTCTGTATATACTCCTGAATTACGTTTTAATGTTCTTAGACTGTCACTTTAATTCCTTATAAAAATGCCTTCACAGATCTATGGTTTAACATTATACCTTCTTGGCTTTTTACTTGAGGTTCGAAGCCCTTACCGAGGGGCCCAGCAGGACCTGCCGTCTGGCCTGTCCAACTTCATCTCCTAAACTTTTCCTTATTGCTCCCTCCACTTTTGATTCCCACATCCCAGGGACAATATGACCTCAGGGCCTCACAGCTCTCTTGGTCTGGAACTCTTTTTTTCCAAATTAAGTGTTCAGCTTGCACTCTCACTTCACTCAGGTCTCCGCTGAGATGTCAGAGGTCTTCCCTGACCACCCAGTCTACAAATGGCCCACGCATTCTCTCAGCACCCCACCCTCACCTCACCCGTCATCTCTGTCCTCTTTGTTTTTACAAAGCATATCATTACTCGACACATTACTTATCATTTAAAAAATATCTGCCTGCCTACAGCAATAGTGAGCTCAGTGAGCACACGCACTGTGTCTTATTCACTGTTGGGCCCAAGCTTCTACAACACGCCTGCACACAGCTGATGTAAATGTTGTTGAATAATAAATGCTGAATGAATGAAGGAAGGAATAAAGGAATGAACGAACAAATGAAGGGTCCATGTCATGGGACACAGGAAGAATGTCTGTGCAAATTTAAAAACCTGCCATGATTACAGCCCAGGTATGTTATTTGATGACTCTAAGGTCAAAAATTAAGATAAATAAATTATTAATATAAATTCTTACTTATAATGCTAAGAATGCATATGTCTTTTTTTTTTTTTTTTTTAAGAAAATCTGGGTTTTGCTTTCTATATTTTTGAGATTGGGTCTCCTCCCTATGTTGCTCAGGTTGGTCTTGAACTTCTGGGCTCACGTGATCCTCCTGCCTCAGCTTCCTGAGTAGCTGGGATTACAGGCACACACCACCACACCTGGCTCCCAACTGATATTACGTTTTAAAAATTAGGTGAGAAGAGACAGGGTCAAAGATAGAACCCTTACCCAACAATTAGAGAATGTATATTCTGCCCAAGCACAGGTAGAAAAATTTATAACTTGACCATTGTGGTAGGCCGAAAAGTGACTCCCAAAGGTATATATATATATATATATATATCTTATTCCCCAGAACTTGTAAATGCACCCTCTATGCCAAATAGTAAAAGAAAAAAGAAAAAGTATTAATAAATATGATTAAGTTAAGGATTTTAAGATGGGGAGATTATCCTGGATCCTAGTGGGCCCTAAATACAATCACATATATCCTTAAAAGAGAGGGGCGTAGGAGGAGAAGGAGGCAGTGATCGGAATGATGGGGCCACAAACCAAAGGATGCTGGCAGGCATTAAGGAATGGACTGTCCCCAAGAGCCTATGGGAGGAAGGTGGCCCTATTGACACTGTGATGTCAGCTGGGTGATACCGCTTTCGGACCTCCAGAACTGAGACAATATATTTCTGTAGTTTAAAGCCATCAAGTATGAGATTTTTTTTTTTTAGGGAACAAATACAAGTTTGAATAAATTTCAGAGTTAGTTTCACTTAGAATTCTTTCTGATCAGGAGGCGAGAGTCAGAAACCAGTTAAAATAAAAAAAAGAAAAAAGTAAATAAATATATTCTGACATATTTGGACATAACGAATACTTCTAAATAATACACAGACAAAAGAAAAACCATAATAGGAAAATATAAAAATACTTAGAAGTGAACAAAACTAAACTCCTTCAAATTAACCCTGTAAGATACACTAAAAGCAGTGCTTTGCTTGAAATTTAAAACCTTACATTAGAAAGAAAATTGGTCAGGCACAGTGGCTCATGCCTGTAATCCCAACACTTTGGAGGCCAAGGTGGGTAGATCATCTGACGTCAGGAGGCGGAGTTTGCAGTGAGCCAAGATCACGCCACTGGCAGTCCAGCCTGGGCAACAAGAGCAAAGCTCTGTCTCAAAATACACCACTACCACCAAGAAAAAAACTTCACGCCATTGCATTCTAGCTTGGGCAACAAGAGTGAAACTTTGTCTCAAAAAAAAAAAATTCTCTAGAAAACTAAAAAAGAGGGAACGTTAAGCCAACTCATTCAACAAGCCAGTATATCGCTAATAAAAAAGTAAAATAATGGCGGGCGTGGTGGCAAATGTCTGTAATTCCAGCACTTTGGGAGGTGGGTGGATCACCTGATGTCAGGAGTTCGAGACCAGCCTGGCCAACATGAAACCCCATCTCTACTAAAAATACAAAAAATTAGCCAGGCGTGGTGGTGGGTGCCTGTAATCCCAGCTACTCGAGAGGCTGTGGCAGAATCACTTGAACCCAAGAGGCAGAGGTTGTAGGGAGCCGAGGTCGTGCCATTGCGCTCCAGCCTGGGCATCAAGAGTGAGACTCCGTCAAAAAAAGAAAAATAAGAACAGTACGAGAGAAGAAAATTATAAGCCAGTATCATTCACAAACATAGATGCAAAAACCATAAAATATTAGCAAATGGAATCTGGGGTGGAATAAAAAATAATGAATCATAACCATACTGAGTTTGTCTCATTAACGCAAATCTATATTGTTGAAAGATTTGTACTAAAGTATTCAAGGGTAAATAATATAACTTTCCTTGAAATGGTTCAGAAGGAAAAAAAAAGAGGGAGAAATGAAGCAGATATAGCTAAGTGTTAACAACTTGCACATATATATTGAGAGGTACAGGAATGTTCATTGTCATATATTTTTCTTATGTCTTTGTAATACATATATAATGAACCTATTTTATTGCCAAAAATCAGTCAGTATTCATTCAACACCTTCTGTTGTCCAAGTTCTTCTTAGGAACTAGTCTTTTTGCGAGGAACTTTCTATGGAAGCTGGTTGGCCCACAACTTTTGCAGATGGATCTGCTGCCCTGAGTATACTCTAATGACTAAGATAAAAAGTGGGCCCCTAACTCTCTAGGGTAAGTTTTGTATCATATATTCACTCTTAATTCTTAAGATTTCCTCACAGGTCTCCTGGATGCTCAGAAGGTATTAATAAATGCCACGATATGATGGCCACATTTTCTTTCTCTTAGGAATCTGAATTGAGAGGTGCAGAGTTAGCCAGGTAGCCAGAAACAGGAAATGCAGTTAGAATGAAGCATATGCTGAGCAGCTAAGAAAGAACAGGAAAAAGTGACACACAAGCTGAAACAGTGAAGACATAGAGGGTATGAGGCTGAGAAAACAGAGTCAAAGTTAAGAACAGGCCACTGAGTATCACAAGCATACACAGAAAGCAACAGAAATGCCACCAAGGTCTCCACGTGGTCCTGGAGAGAGACTGAAGACAGCTGCCAGTCCCAGGGCTGCTGTTTCTAGGAGGCCCAGCTGTACTGGCATTCCTAATCTTGGATGCCTATAAGGTCCTTCTCACTGGCCTCCATGTATCCTTAAGGTAACCCTTCCACCACCCTCTACCAATTCATTCTTATTTGAGCTACCTTTAGTAAGGATCTATCCTTGGCAACCAGGTATATGCTACATAGAAAATAAGTCTAGTTCCTCATTAGACTTATCCTACAGTGGTCTGGCACAGTGGCTCATGCCTGTAATCCCAGCACCTTGGGAGGCCTACATGGGTGGATCACTTGAGGTCAGGAGTTCAAAACCAGCCTGGCCAACATGGTAAAACCCTGTCTCTACTAAAAATACAAAAATTAATGAGGTGTGATGGCAGCTGCCTGCAACCCCAGATACTCAGGAAGCTGAGGAAAGAGAATTGCTTGAATCCAGGAGGCGGAGGTTGCAGTGAGCTGAGATTATGCCATTGCACTCCAGCCTGGGCAACAAAATGAGACTCTGTCTCAAAAAAAAAAAAAGACTTATCCTACAGTGTGGTTTGAGTAGACTATGCCCTTAATTAGCATGATTTCTCAGGTTCAGAATAAAAAAATGGGACAAGCCTTTGAAGAAATAAGAGAATTTTAGTAAGAGAAATGTGGTATATACTACCTATTATTAACTTTTTTAGACCACTGTTAATTACTGCTGTCTTAAGCAATGTCTGTTAACAGAGATGGGTGATAAATCATGCTTTAGGGATGACATGTATAATCAATCAAGTCTTCTACCGGTTACCAACAAAAAGCAAGTAATAACATAACTGTCAAGTGACTCCCATAAATAATTAAACTCACCATGCCAGTCTCCATGTTAGGTGGGTTAAGATAAGTATGTGGATTTCTAATGTAACCATCTTTGTATGGCTCATCAGGAAAGTGATAGGCATTAGACCTTTTGAAATAGGGTCTGTCATGAGGCAGATTGAAGAGATCATGTAACTCCTAAAAGAAATTGGAATTAATAGAAAAAGTGCTGGTGATTTAGATTTCTAGTCAATAAATAAAGATGTTATAAAACACAGAAAATCATATATGGGTTATAAAAGTTTCCAAACACTTATTATTTAATTCACTAGCATCAAAGATGGTGAAAACTGAACCAAAACCAAGAAAGATTTATTTTCATTTGAAGGATGAAAATAAATGAAGAGAAAAATGAATATAAATTGTTAGAGTAAGAGAACTGAGATAATTTTAAAATAATTATTTATTATAACATAGTCTGTTAAAATATACCCAGGCTAAAGACTGATTTTGAAATAGCCTTGTAAATGAGTAAATTATAATTAACAATAATCATATCAAAGTATTTAGAAAAAATCATGGCTAGGGTGCTTTATAAATATTTTATATTTTAAGTGGTAGTGATTAGATTAGAGAAGTTAGTGATATAAAACCAACCAACATGGCATGAAAATAAATACACATATATGTTTAAAATGTGGTATTTTCTCAATGGAATAAAAATATTTAATAGTCACTTTAAAAAGTCTGACATGTTCTTTATCCTATCTTCTGTGTATTCCAGTGGTTTAAATAGATCGGCTACTATAGCTATTGCTTCTACAAATCAGGTCACCTCCATGTGCAGAGGGTCAGGGTATTATATTATAATATATCTCTTCCTAAGGACAGAGGTTAGGAAGATGCTCCATGGTCTACTGTGATGGGTTCTAAGCAAGTCCACATATCAAAAAGATGTACTCCAACCAAAACCAGTCATTTTGCCAATAAATCTTGGTACTTTGAATGCTGGTCATGTTTACTCCAAAATTCCTCTAATAAATCCCAAATAACCTTACTTGTGAAGTATTATTAACATAAATCCTACCCAGAATTAGTAAAGTTATCATTTTCCTTCCCTAACTGTAATCTTGCCTCTTTTACAAATGTGGAAGTTATAGAAATTTGTTAATACCAGCTACTTTAGGCAGGTAAGCACCTTTTCATTTCTATATGAAATATTAAAATTTCACAGAATATATGAACCACACTGAATATTTAAAATTAAAATGTTATATACAGGTTCAACATTTTTGCATTAATAAAGTTTCATGAGAACAGAAATTAAATAATATGTAAAATTAATAGTCTAATAACTTCCACACTTTTAAGTTAAATCACAAAATGACTTGCATTTATTGGAAATAAAAAATTAAACACAAAATGAATGACAGTTGTTATTGTTTTTTCTAAGAATAAATGAACTGGTTTTACCTTTCTGTAAGCCTGCAGCTGACCATCTGGTATTCCTGAAGGATACGATATTGTTACAAGATTTTTTCTCCCTGGTAATAAAAAGTGCAGTGGTTCAGGGACCACAATGGATGTTCCTTTCATATATTTCAAAATGCATTTTTCCATATCAGTTAGTTGATTATGAATTGCATCAACTAGAAGTTTACGAACTCTGTGGGGGGAAATATGTAAGTGTATTAACAAAGTTACAGTGTCTACAATAAAGAAAAGTACAGAGCTAATATATCCTTAATACAGTAAAAAACTTGATTGGACCAGGTTTTTTAAAGGAAGTCTGAATTATGCATCATAAAAGAAACTGTGTATTTGCTCTTTGTGGATAAAGGGAAATCCTCCAGTTTTTTTTTTTTTTTTTTTGGAGAATGGAGTCTTACTCTGTGGCCAGGCTGGAGTGCAGTGGCGCGATCTTGGCTCACTGCAACCTCAGCCTCCTGGGTTCAAGCGATTCTCCTGCCTCAGCCTCCTGAGTAGCTGGGACTCTAGGTGCGCGCCACCACGCCCTGCTAATTTTTGTATTTTTGGTAGAGATGGGGTTTCACCATATTGGCCAGGATGGTCTTGATCTCTTGACCTCGTGATCCACCCACCCTGTCCTCCCAAAGTGCTAGGACTACAGGCGTGAGCCACTGCGCCCAGCCAACCCTCCAGGTTTTAGCATGCTACCCTACTTCCTCCAAATAACCATTTAATTAATAGATGGCTCTTCAGTTAATAGTACACAAGGAGAAAAGCACACCTTAGGTATGCCTATAGGATATATAAACATGGGTTCTGATTACTGTGGGGAAGTGCCCTCATTTAAATGTGGCAGTGGTACTATGAAAAGACTTACTTTCCCCATGTTTCTTCTGCAGCAACAGATACAACTGCATCGACAGGTAAAGTCATATTAACATAATGGTGTCCTCCACTTTCCCTTTCAATGATGGGTGTTACAGCTGCCAGGGAGGTTGACATTTCCAGCATAAGATCTATATTTACTATTTGATGCTATATAGATAAAAAGTAATAGTCAACTTGTAGTACATTAAACACTAAATATAAAGAATAAGTAAAAAGTCTTTAAAAATGTCTTTTTTATTAAGAAAAAAAATTAAGACTAGTCAAGTACAGTAGTGAAAGGGGGTGAAAGAGTAGGGCAAGGAGTTCAATCTGTAACTGGCTATGAACAGTCAACTCAGATAACTCGCTACCCTTCCAGGAAGATGACTTTTTAAGGATAATATATAAAGCTATACTACAGTAAAAAGATTAAAAGCACAAATATTATTTTAAAAAGAAATTATTTTCTGTGTCAAAGTAATGTGGGGAGAGAGATTAGGAAGTAAAGATGAAATGAGGCTGGCCATGTGTGGATAAATGTTAAATCCAGGCATAGGTTCACTGGGGTTCATTACATGATTCTTTCTACTTTTGTACTGATTTAAAATTTTAAAAAAATCAAATGAACACAAAATAACCACACACCAAAGGAACTTTTAAACATATAGTATAACTATATACCCCTGGTCTAATACATAAATAACTATAAACAAATATTGAACTCTATCTACTTTGTAGGTTTTATTTTTTACAGGGGTATCGAACAACCATTCCAAAATTTCCACTCAACAAATTTCACAAAATACTGAGGATCCTGGGAGTCAGACTTCTCACTGGGAAAGGGTCAAGCACTGCAGGGTTGAAGTGGAGTGAGGGGCAGCAATGTGATTTACAGATAAAAATGAATGTGCTCTGTGTGTGTGCATGGATAGTATAGATACATAAAAGTATGTGCTCATGGAAAAATGACTGATTCTCCAGCTACAACAGGGAAATCACATGTTGTACCTGGAACGTCTGATGGAAGAAAATAGCAAGTGCTCAAAATTACAATGTTAGAAGGGCACTGGAGAGAGCTTGAAGAAGCTTCTACTGGCCAAATCTTGGAAAATGTAAGCATCAAAGTAACTAATGATAGTACCAGATCATAAACCACTGCATAAAGTAAGAGTCCATGGCAGGTAATACGTAAGGAAATGACAGATTTAGAAAAATCACCACTTTGTAATCCCCACATTAATATTGGATTCTGGCAAAAATTATCAATGGATGCTAAAAGTGGTAGGTAAAAATCTGATAAGGATTAAAGTAAGATATATATGTAGTATCAAAGTAGTTTCCCAAAATATACTAATTATAAAGGAAAAATAATACCTTTACCATGGAGAGAACTGGTGGATACCATCTTAAGTAAGTGACTAAAGTTAACGTCACCAATAATAGGAACAGATTGATCAGTTTCTCTTTAGTATGCTGTGCTGAGGACACCACATCACTTCTGTGGTATTCCTGCCAATAATGTATGACCTGAATCTAATAAGAAGGAAGCATAAAACAAACCCAAAAAGAGGAACGGTCTTAAAAAGAACTCGCCTGTACCCCTCAAAATGTCAAGCTCCAACTAGTGGCAATTTTCAAATAATTTTCTCCAGCCCACAATTATTTTGTGCATTCCACATCTGTAAATCTAACAGCTCCTCTGTACATCCTACTGAGGTCTTAAACATGGCCCAAATCACCCTCATGTCCTCCTTACCTTCCATGTTTACCCAAGCAAGAAACTGATCATACCAGTTAGTTTCCAAGCAAAATCCATTATATCTCTAATTTCTCGTATCCAATCCCTGTTCTCTAGTTCCACAGCTAGTGGTTCAGTTAGGACTCTTCTAAAGAGGCCCATGCCCACCTCTCCAGCCTTACATCCATGCATTCTCCCTCTACTAGCCTAGAAACAATGTAGTCATGTTAACTTTGCACAACTTCCTGCCTTGAAGAAGTGTCTCCATTTTTTATCTTCAACATCTCTTAAAGTTTATGACACGGGGCAGGTACTCAGTAATACTGGTTCAAAATCAACAGAACTGGCTGGGCGTGGAGGCTCATGCCTGAAATCCCAGCACTTTGGGAGGCCGAGGAAGATGGATCACCTGAGGTCAGAAGTTAGAAAGCAGCCTGGCCAACATGGTGAAACCCCATCTCTACTAAAAACACAAAAATTAGCTGGGCGTGGTGGCAGGCACCTCTAATCTCAGCCTCCTGGCCAACATCATGAAACCCCATCTCTACTAAAAATAAAAAATTAGCTGGGCGTGGTGGCAGGCACCTCTAATCCCAGCGTCTAGGAGGCTGAGGCAGGAGAATCACTTGAACCTGTGAGGCGGAAGCTGCAGTGAGCCAAGATCATGCCATGGCACTCCAGCCTGGGCGACAAGAGTGAAACTCCATCTCAGAAAAAAAAACAGAACCAAGAATAGTGTGAAGAAAAATAAATCATTTACTACTTGTCATATGTGGCACAATGTGTCACTCTGCCACGCTTCAGAATGCCTCATTTTATTTTAAATAATTTGTAAATGTACTTAGGCTGTTTTATTTTGTGGGAGCAAAGAAAGCATTATTTAAAAAAAAACCCTTTTGAGATTATGTATGATAATGAGACAAAAGCTTACATATGTAAAAGTTACATAAAAACTTTTGGCAAGTGATTTAATCTTTTTGGACATCAATATTCTGACCTAATAAGAGGGTTAAGTTAAATTATTTCTAAGATTGCACTCAGTTCCAAATTCAAAGATTTAACATTTTTATCAGTAGAGAAGATAGATGATTTGCTTACCATGTCTGATAACTTTTTGTCTTTCTTTCTCATGAATTTTCGTTTTATATCTTCTTCTGGCTCAAGTCTAAATTTTTAATACAGAAAGACATTTATAATATGAAATGATGTTTTGAAAACATCTCTAGAAATCTTCAAACATACTCACTGAATAAAGCGCAGTATGTTCTTACAAGCAGAAACATCAGTCAGTTCTCCAGGAATGGTGTTTATGTCACTGCTAGGCCATATATACACTGAACTGTGGCAAATTCTGAACACGAGAGCGTTTGAAGAAAGCTTGGTTGACAGGTCACTCAACACATGTTTCAGTGCCTTCTTGAGAAAAATTTCTAAATTAAAAGAATATAAATAGAAGTTAAGAAAAACAAATTTTCAACATGAATGGTTCCAAACATATACAAAAGTAGAGCACAGTAAAACTCAGTACTCACTCCCCATATTCAATAATTATTTAAAATGTTTTTGCCTATCTTCTTAAAAAATTGAGATAAAATTCCCAGACCATAACATTCATTCTTTTAAAGCATATAACTTAGGGCTTTTGGTATATTCATAAGGTTTTATAATCATCACTAATTCTAGAACGTTTTCAACACTCCAGAAAGAAACCCTGTACCTACCAGCAGTCATTTCTCATCCCCCCTACATTTCTCTAATTGAAAATTTTCTAATTTACCCCCTACATCTTTTCTAATTTGCACATGGTGCTCCATGGGCTGGCAGGGGTGCTGGAACACAATATCCAAGTTTAAATTCCATTCAATCCATTGACTGACTACATTATCTTCCAATTTTTATCTCTCACCCAGTTCCATCTGCAAAATGAAAAGAATCTCAGCATACTACCCATGGCAATTATTAATTTACCTTTGTCTTTATGGATTTGCCTATAGTGGACATTTCACATAAGTGGAATCACACATTACATGGCTTTTTGTGTCCGGCTTCTTTCAGTCGGCATAATGTTTCACACGTACTGTAGCAGGAATTAGTACTTCATTCCTTTTTATGGCAGCATAATATTCCATTGTATGGATATACCAATTTTGTTTTCCATTCATAAACTGATGTACATTTGTTTCCACATTTTGGCTGTTATGTATATGCTGCCATCAACATTTGTGCATCAGTTACGTTTTGGTGTGGATGTTTTCAATTCTCTTAGGTGATCATCCAGAGTAGAATTTCTGGATCACATAACAACTCTATATTTAACACTTTCAGGACTGCCAGGCTGTTTTCCACCACAGCTGTACCATTTTATATTCCCATCAGTAATGTATAAGAGTTCTCATTAATATTAAAATAATGTATTACTTATAGGAATAAAACTATTGAATGACATTTTAATTTCTTAGCCCTTTTTGTCCTTGGACCGTATCCCACTACGATTACACAAAGTCCCATGTTCTAAAGTCTCAGTTGGTTTTCTTCTTTGTATGGTTATGTCGCCAACCTGATATTTGCTTTAGTTTGTTTCTGTTTTCAAGGATTTCCTTTGAATAGACTTAAAATATGTTTGAATATTCAAAAAATTAGAGTACTTTAGTATTTTTGAATATTCAATATATTCAATTTGGAAACATCTCTGTTTCCAAAGTCGAAACAATATAAGAAGATATAGCCAAAGAAGACAATCTTTAAATACTCGTCTTAGCCTGATACTCCTAAATCCTAAGCCTATTTAACCTTGTAGTTAAATATTAATTCAGTGACCTGATTCTGCTAAAAGAGTATTTTAAAAATTTTTTTTAAATGACTACATTGGTATCTTGATCAATCAATACTTTGGGGCTATTGTAGAGAAGAGATTACTCAGAAGAAGTCAGATTTTAAAATATCTTGATATGTTTCAGAAAGCAGAATTTAAAGATTTTCAGCTGTACTACAAAAGACAAACATCATTCTTAAATTACCTTCTGTTTATCCCTAAAGGACTATTTGGTAAAGTGACCTGAAAAAATTGCGAAGCCTTTGAAGTTAAGCTTCTCCATTCTCTATATTTTCTCATTAATCAGAGTCCCTTTGTTGAGTGTTGACAGAGCTCGAGAAAAGAGGAGGAATACAATCAAGTCAGAAGACAAATTTGAATATATTAATTACTAGGTAAAAAGTATCTGTAGTCCTTGTTTACATTTGATTACTGGATTATCTATTGATTAATGGATTAATTCTACTTTGGAATAAGATTATAGTAAAGTGTGTTTCAGTTTATATCAAGTTGTGAAATGTCAGGTTTTATCCATAAAATAATATTTTAGGAAACGACTCACTCTACTAATGAGTTTGATTTAGTCCTTATAAAATGATTCTCGTCTTAATGGCACACTAGAATTACCTAGAAAGCTTACTGATGCCTGGGTCTCTGTCTCAGAAATGTAGTTTGACGTAGTCTGGTGGTAGGGATTCAAATGCGCACCAAAACTGAGAACAACATATTAGTTGAAGGGATGGGTGGAAAAGAATATTCTGCGCCCTCTCCCTCCCTTCCACGGGGCTAGTAAAGGATATGGTCAGTGGCAAACTCCTTCAAGGAATGCTGGTATCTGATACAGTTTAGATGTTTGTCCCCTCCAAATTTCACGTTGAAATGTGATCCCCAATGTTCGAAGCGGGGCCTGGTGGGAGGTGTTTGCATCACAAGCCCTCATGAATGGCTGGTTGCCATCCTCACAGTAATGAGTGAGTTCTCACTCTTATCAGTTCATAAGAGGGTTGGTTCTTTAACAGCCTGGCACCTCCTCCCCTGTCTTTTCCTGCTGCTTTCGCCATGTGATACACTGACCCTTCCTCTGCCTTCCAACATGACTGAAAGCTTCCTGAGCCTCACCAGAAGCAGATGCCGGCACCATGCTTGTTGTACAGTCAGCAGAACTGTGAGCTGAATAAACCTCTTCTTTATAAATTACCCGGTTTCAGGTATTTTTTACAGCAATGGAAACAGACCAAAACAGTACTTTCAATTCCTTATCTTTCCGAACCTCTCTGTGGCTTCTGGCACTACCAATCGTACTTTTCACAAGTGATTTAATTTATTATGAAGGTGTTAACTATCATTCTTCAGAGACATTCCATTCTGTAGCTCCACCTCTGACCACTCTCTTCTAAATTTCTGACTCAGCCAAATGCCTGCTGGGAATCTAAACTTGACCTTCCACTGGCATCCCAAATGAAACAAATCCAAACACAACTCATCGCATTCCTCCTCTGATGTTCTTTATCTCAGTTTGTGGCTGTAGTTCAAGTCAGCAACAGCAAGACATCCTAGAATCTGCTTCATATAAACCCTTCTGATTTTTCTCCCATAGGGTTTTTGTACTCATCCCCTTATAAGGTGGTATTTAAGAGAGTGGGTTCTGGAGACTCAGGATTATATATACAATTGCAAGACTGTAATGTGCAATTCTTGATGCACATTTACAATGTGCTCATTGTGGATATTTACATTTATTGCAACAATTAATGAAGAGGGGAGTAAAGTTTCTTAAGAAAGGGGACATCTTTTTCTAATTTGCACAGAGGTACTCCATGGGCTGGTGGGTGTGCTGGGACACAGTGTCTAAGTTTAAGTCCCATTTACTAACTATATAATCTTAGTTTATCCTATCTCTCACTCAGCAGTTTCATTTGCAAAATGGAGACAATCTCAGTATATTTCACTATCAATTTTCTAGTAAAAAAGAATTTTTCAGAAGACTTACCATTAGGAGTAGCTAGCTGAAAAGCCAAATCAAGGCCTCCTCTTATTCTGAAGAGTATATCCATACTTTCTGAAATCACCTAAAACAAATAAAAACAAAATTCCCTTATAGGAAAAAAAGCTCATTTTCATATACATTAGAATCCAATTGAGTTTAGTATAAGACATTAATTAAGCTTGATTCTTCAAATTATTTCATAAGTTAATTCTTTGTTTTATGGAAAAAACAAAAACAACTCCAAAATTTTAAATCAGAGGTTGTCAACTTTTGTTACATACTGGGGAGCTTGAAACACCAATACCTAGGCTGTACCCCCAGAGATTCTGATTACTTGGTCTAAGGGATAGGCCTAGGCACAGGGATTTTTTTTTTTTTTTGAGACACGGGCCTCACTCTGTCACGCAGGCTGGAGTACAGTGGTGCAATCTCAGCTCTCTGCAACCTCTGCCCCCTGGGTTCAGAGATTCTCCTGCGTCAGCCTCCCATGTAGCTGAGATTACAGGCACACACCACCACGCCTGGCTAATTTTTGTATTTTAGTAGAAACAGGTTTTCAGAATATTGGCCAGGCTGGCATTGAACTCCTGATCTCAAGTGATCCACCCATCTCAGCCTCCCAAAGTGCTGGGATTGCAAGGTTGAGCCACCACAGCCAGGGCTGTTTAAAAGCACCCTATGTCCCCATGCCAGCAATTCTACTATGAACTGTTGAGAACTACTGCTGTAAGACAATCTTTCTAAATTGTAATCTTGATGGGTTTAACAATGACAAGAAAACATCAATGGTAAGAACTAATTTAAGAATGTGACAAGGCACTGAACCCAATATGATAATACCAGGCAGTCAAGACAATGAGAGGAAACTAATACTGAGGGTGGGAGTATCCACTGGTACAATTCTTCACAGAATATGGCAGAAAGTATCAAAGATTTCTATTCATAGGTTTGATGTAGTGATTATGCACTTAGAATCTTAGACTTAGTCTAAGAAAAATCTGGAAAACACACAAAGATTCAGGTATAAGGATATTAACCTAACTGCCAACGACAGGAGATTAGTTAAATAAATATGAATCTCATATAGCCATAAGAAAATCATGTTTTTGCTGAAAATTAAATGGCACAGGACAATGCTTACAACTTACAAAGGAAAAAAAGCACTTGCAAAATGGAACTGATCAGTTCTTAACTTGGATCTATATGCTGAGTTTCAGGTAGTTGATGATATATGACAAATGACATGTATCCACAGACATATATTCATACACACACACACACACACACATATATACATGAGAGAATGAGACAGTAAGGGAGAAAGAGAGGCAAAGATTTATTTTGGGAAGAAATATCAAAAATTTAATCAGATTCTGAAAACATCTCTCAAACAGGCTGAAGAACCACAGTACATACTAAGACCCCTATTTTTAAATAAATGAGTAAGTACTAACATTTATTGAGCTCTTCAAATGTAAAAGGCAGGCAGGGTGCAGTGGCTCACGCCTGTAATCCCAACACTTTGGAAGGCAGAGACAGGGGGAGGGACACTTTGAGCCCAGGAGTTAGAGACCAGCCTGGGCAACATAAGAAGATCTCCATATCTACAAAAAAACAAAAACCAAAAATTAGCTGAGTGTGGCGGCCTGCACCTACTGAGTCTGAGGTTGAGGTGTGAGGATTGCTTGGGCCTGGGAGGTCAATGCTGCAGTGAGCCATGATCGCACCACTGCACTCCAGCCTGAGTAACAGAGCAAGATCCTGTCTCCAAAAAATAAAATAAAATGAAACATTTTATTTTATTTTATTTTATTTTATAAAATGTTACATTTCTATAAGGGTCACTGTTCTTATTTGTTCTAAAATTGTAATCTGTTGAAAGATCATACAACCTTTGTCCCAATTCTACTCCTGGGAATTTATTCTAAGGAAATAAGGAAGTTCAGGACAAATTTAGCTTCACTGTTGTACATTTATCCTACTGTTGTTCATCACAAAAAAGTAGATGGAAACCACTTAAATAGCTATCAATAAGAAATTAGTTAAAGAAAAATACCACCATACAAACTAGTATGCACCCATTTAAATAAAAAATGCTTAAAGATACTGAAGATAAAAGTTATAAAGACAGAACACAGCAAATTTTAACTCTGCTACTTACTGTATAATTTTATTTTTATTTTTATTTTTTTGAGACAGAATTTCACTCTTGTTGCCCAGGCTGGAGTGCAATGGAGCGATCTCGGCTCACTGCAACCTCCGCCTCCTGGGTTCAAGATATTCTCCCGCCTCACCCTCCCGAGTAGCTGGGATTACAGGCATGCGCCACCATGCCTGGCTAATTTTGTATTTTTAGTAGAAACGGGGTTTCTCCATTTTTAGTAGAAACGGGGTTGGTCAGGCTGGTCTCGAACTCCCGACCTCAGGGGATCCGCACCCCTCAGCCTCCCTAACTGCTGCAATTACAGGTGTGAGCCACTGCACCCGGCCTCTTACTGTATAATTCTACACATTTTAACGAAGCACTGAAGTCTCTCTTCTGTAAAACTGGAAAAAATATACATCTTGCCAGGGTTGTTGTGAAGATTCCATGAGACATCATTCATGAAAGCACTAGTCTTCCCAGACTAGTTCAGGAGTTGAGAAGAGGAACATGTGAAGGATGATTTCCAGGTTTTGAGCAGGCATAACAGGGCGTATGGTGGTGCCATTTACAGAGTTGGGGGTTCCTGGAGGAAGAGCAGGTGTGGAGTGTGGGGAGGTGAAAACGATCAGTTTGGAACTTGCAGAGTTTGAAATGCATGTGAGCTATCCAAGTGAAGGCACGGTTAGCAGATCTGTGGGTCTGGAGCTCAGGAGAGAGGTATAACTTAAAAATTTTAGGAGAACGAATAGGGTGTAAAGCATCCCTGAGGAGCACCAACATTTAGGATAGCAACTGGAGAGCCTTGCTGAGCAATGAGACAGGAGGGAAACCAGGAGACAGAACTAGGGGTACTACGGTAATATATTAGAAGAAACTTGCGCCTCTTTCCCAGGTAAAACCTTTCTTTCTAGGCTTCAAAAACTCCGAAAAGTCTCTCAAAATGCTTTCACACAGAGGAGGGGCTAGGGTTCGGGTCCAGGGTGGCCGAGGCGGGGTGCACACGTGTGTGGGGCACTTTCCCTCCAGCCCAGAGCGGAGACAGGCGAAAGGGAGGGCCGCCCAGTCCACGGAGCTTGCAGCAGCCATAGTGGGCCCTCGCAGGACCAGCTCCCTTCAGGCGCTGTGGAGCCTGGCCCGTGACAGCTGCCAAAGTCCGGGGGAAACACGAGGGTCAGTAACGAGCAGAAATACTCACCATGCCCCCGACGTGGCGGTGACAGGGGCGCCAACGCCAGCCAGAAGGTTCCGGGGGGCCGGCCCGGAAGTGGCGTCACCGCCCGGCCGAGGGGCGGGGCCCTATCGGGACAACTACAACTCCCGACATGCTCTGCGGCAATACGTCACGGAGCTTACCAGAATACAGCTCCTCACCGACTGCATGGAGAGGCGGGTGGCCGAAGACTTATGTTTGATGAATTCTCTCAGTTAAGTCTTTTCTGTCCTACAGAGGCTCACACATCCTTGTATGTGTTCTTCATCCTTGTATGCGGACTCGAACCACCTCGTGTCCCCCCCGCAGCGTCCTTGTAATGGATTCTCCCGTATCCGGGGCAACACACCACAATCATCGCCAGGTCTAGCAGAACGTGCTGAGGCGCCTGGCGGCCGGGGCGTCTGGCCGGCGGCTGGGAGGCCTCGCCGCTCCGGCAGCGCGGTTAATCTGAACTACCTGGGGCAACCTGATCTCGGCTGTCGGCGTGGGTATCCTCGGGAGAGGTGACTTGGTCCTCGCCGACGCCAGGGGTTGCCCTTAGATGCCTGCCTCTTCCGAGCCTCCGTTTACTTCCTGGGAAAAAGATCCATCACCTCCTCCACTTTTCTGCCCCCTCTTCACCTCCCACGACACTTTATCCGTACCTTTCTTACCTTTCCAAGGGAACGTGCCATACTTCGGCTACACACTGTTTTCTTGTCTAATAGATGCTGCTCCTTGGGGCAGCATCTGTGCCTTCTTAAATCTGTGTTTCTAGTTTGTACCAGCAAGCCTGGCCCGAAGGGGTTTGCAGAGTCTGTGTTAAATAAATGAATAAATGATTTCGAAAATGTTGCTCAAGAAGAGCTAAGTAGTGGCGGGGCCGGGCGAGGTGGCTCACGCCTGTAATCCCAGCGCTTTGGGAGGCCGAAGCAGGGGGATCAGCTGAGCTCAGGAGTTCGAGACTAGCCTGGGCGAAATGAAACCCCGTGTCTACTGAAAAAAAAAAAAAAATAGTAGTGGGAAAGTTCTAGGCAAGAATTTCTTCCCTCCCTCCTCGCTGGCTGGTTTGTGTGCCGGGAGCTGCGCGGACGCCGGGATCCCGTGACAGGGAGGAACCTCAGCCTTGCTGCAGCTCTTGCTCTTGTGGAGCCAAGTGTCATGGGGCAAACAGCTGTTAGTGAAAGGATCCCTCACGACGAATGTAAGCTGATGACCTAGCAGAGAAGCAGGATGAGGGCTTGGAAGAAGTACATGGCACTGTGATGGAGTTAAAGAAGTGATTAAGAAACTGAGCAGTCCGAAGAAGCAGTGTTAATGGCGAGGGGTGGGGTGGGGAGAGAAAGGGTCTGCCTCCAGAGAAATGGCATGGACGATGGTCCTGCGGCTGGAGAGAGCCCAGCCTAACGACGGAAAGAGGACAATTGCAGCCAAGGGGCCACGAGGGGGTTTCCATGGTGACAGATGAGGCTGGCTGATACAGGACCTGAGACATTTAGGCCCCAGTAGCAGCACAGGAATCCTTTGTGGTTGGGCAGTGGGGTGGAGTTTTGAAATATACGGTAAATCAAAGGACTGCATCTTGACTGAAATTTGGTTTTAAAGCATCCCTGATCAATGGAAGAGGTAGGATGTGGGGAAGGGTGTTATGTTTGCTTATGTTTTAGTTTAAAATGAATCTTCACTTGCCCCTTTGATGTTAATCATTACACATTAGCAATGATTCATGCTCAGGTGAGCCAGTTTCAGGCAGGCTTGCAAGGAGGCACTGAAACAGCTTGCTCTAAATTTAAGGTAAAAGGCCGGGCGCAGTGGCTCAGACCAGCCTGGCCAACATAGTGAAACCCTGTCTCTACTAAAAATACATTAATTTTTAAATAAGGAGTTGCATGTTTAATATTTCACCTTTGTTTGAAGTGGCCATTTCCGAAGAAAGCTCAGAGTTGAAGTATGCCCATTAACGAATACTCAGAAATCATTGTAGAATTTTTGTTTTTGTTCTTGTTTTTATCTTGCCTGAATCATTGTTCTCTTCCCCATTCCCTTGATAATTTACCAGTGGCACATTTCTTATATTTATTTAAACTTGAAAAACAACCTCAAGCATTGTAGGGTAATATCTAGATGTGTTGTGCATTCTGAAAAGCTGTTATATTTACAATATAAGGGACAATGCAGGATGCTGAAATCATTTTACCTAAACTGTAAAACTGTCTGCCTTTATACAATTATTTTAAAATCTACCCTGAACTTCCCAAAAGGATTTGTTTATAATACACTATATACTAATAATTTTATCATTTCCAACAGATAAATGGCAGTGCAACAGATGATATTTTACACATTCCTTTGTAATTTGTGGGCACTTCACATGGAGAGTCAAGGGGGAGGCTCTTATGGACAATTTTGATTCCCAGTATTCTCCCCCAGCCCTGCAGAGTAGATTCTTTCCCCATAGAGTAGGAGACTAATATTTTACAGTAAACCTTAAAACTCTTGACCCGGTGTGGGGGCTCTCACCTGTAATCCCAACACTTTGGGAGGCAGAGTCGGGTGGATCACCTGAGGTCAGGAGTTCAAGTCCAGCCTAGGCCGACATGGTAAAACCTCGTCTCTGCTAAAAATACATTAGCCGGGCGTGGTGGCACATGCCTGTCATCCCAGCTACTCGGGAGGCTGAGGCAGGAGAATCACTTCAATCCGGGAGGCGGAGGTTGCAGTGAGTGAAGATGGCACCATTGCACTGCAGCCTGGGTGGCAAACAAACACAAAAACAAAAAGCCAAACTCCTAGACTGGAAGTTGGAAGTATTTAGAACTGATAATCAATAATCACTTTTTTCCTAACCTTTGCCCCTTTATTTTTATTGTCAGTGTAAAGTAGGATTTTGCTGTAAAAGAAGTGACCCTAAGGAACCTTTTGAAGTTAGCAGTATAGAGGGCACCACCACAAGAAGCCACCATGCCTGTGGAAGGAGGAGGGAAAACAGACATGGAAAGGATTGGCCTCTTTAGTGAGATGGAATACATTACTGTGGGTGATAAATATGTGTCACCATTTAATCGTAAGTATATTTGGTTTTCTCTATGAAAGAATAGTGGGTATTTTCTATATAAAATTTGAATTTAATATTTAAATCAAATGATATTTTAATAGTTTATATTTTAAAGTATTTCTAAAGTTGGTTAACTTGTAAAATTTCAATAGAGTTAAGCGATAACCTTATTTATTTATTTATTTATTTATTGACAGGATCTCTGTTACCCAGGCTGGAGTGCAGTGGCCTGATTATAGCTCACTGCAGCCTCAAACTCCTGGGCTCAAGGGATCCTCCCATGTCAGCCTCCTGAGTCCCTGGGACTGCAGCCACACACTACCATGCCCAGCTTAAATATTTTGTGGAGAAGGGGGATCTCACTATGTTGCCTAGGCTGGTCTTGAACTCTTGACCTCAAGAGATCCTCCCCACTCAGCCTCCTGAAGTGCTGGGGTTAAGAGACCTGAGCCACTGCATCCAGCAAGAACTTTATTTTATAAGAATAAGAATCTCGGGCCGGGCACGGTGGCTCATGCCTGTAATCCCAGCACTTTGGGAGGCCCAGGCAGGTGGATCACGAGGTCAAGAGATCAAGACCATCATGGTCAACACGGGGAAACCCCGTCTCTACTAAAACTACAAAAAATTAGCTGGGCATGGTGGCGCGTGCCTGTA